CGGGGCATGAAGACTACTACCCGCCTCCCACTGGCGATGGAGGCGACGAGCTGTGATCTGGTTTTGCTAGCCCATCGAGTTGGGGCTTGGCTTTTGTCCTTCTTTCCAGACTTAGACTCCGGATTGTGTTTGGTTTTTATTTCTTGTTCCCATTGTGTGGATTGTTGACTTGGAACTATGTTTTCTTTCACCCCATGTGTGTGTTTTGTTGGTTCTAGCTCTGTGCCCGTCGGACTGGTCCTTGTCCAGTCCTCTGCTATTGACTGGTCCGCCATCCAGTCAACGTTCCTGACCACTGTTTCACGGTAACATCGTTCCCCTTCCCTCGGCTCCATTGAGGACACTGTCGCATCTAAGTGTGTGTGTGTGTGGGGGGGGTTCTTTGTATTTATTGGAACGTATATATGGGTGCTTGGAGCCTAGTCCGCTGTCCAAATCTTACGATTTGAGGGCTCCAAGTACTGCTGTTTGATCATATTGGCACTGTTTTTTGATTGATGAATTGAATGGTTTCGGATTAATGCATGACAACTTGTTTGTGACTAGGACAACCTATGATGAGGACTGAAATGTGCAGTAGAATTGTGTAGGGGTTCAGTTTTTCAATGGTTTGCTTACCAACTGTGACTTGATTTGATCACTTGTTCTTGACAGTCGTTTATGCATCTAGTTTAGGGTATCATAATGTGAGATAGAGCATATAGGTAGCCATGTGAGATTTGAGCCTGCTCGTTTCTTTCTTGTGCGATAGATCCCTCTTCCATGATGTGTAGCATTCACGTTGTCACTAGCTAAGATGATGGGGACATAGGATTAGCCCACGACCAAAATTGACTGTCCTGATGTGTCATATCCCCTAGTCAGCCTCTTTGAGCCGTGTGTTATCCTTTCTTTTGGTCTATAATGAAAAAAATCACCCTTGTTGCATCTTTTAGAAGGTTCCACAGAGTGGTTTTTACATATCCCCTGCTGTTTCTATTAAATTGAATGTGAGTGTTGCAGGTAGTGCTTAAAAGTTGGGCAGATGTTTGAAATATGTGCAGAAGTGGTGGCTCTCTTAAGAAATGAAAAGAAAATGAAAGAAAAACAAAGAAAAATTGAAAGCAAAAGAGAGCCACTACCAAAAATCTGAGTAATGCCCATTAAGTAGTGTTTCTTAGCAATCTGGCTTGGAAATGCTGATGTTTATGCCTCCTTCGCTCTTGTGCTCTTGAGATGTTGAGTATTGTAGAATAGCAGAAAGGGAATACCGGTTTGTTTGACTGTGATTGTGTGGGTTTGGAAATGTGGAACCTTGTGATATGAATACTTCCACCACCTAAAAGGCATTTTCCCCATGTCCAAGATCCTAGCCAGTCATTTGAACCTGTGTCTAAGACCTCCTGATTAGTTAGTGATGACATCCTATATGTGAACTCTAGCATTTAGAGGCTGCCATCATGGTGAAGAGATGTTAGGGATTGAGAGAAATAGCATGCGCATTTTTCGCATTAAACTGTCCTGACCCCACTGGTCGAGAGTGAGTGATTCATTTTCATATTCTTTATACTCTTGTACCCCGGTGAGGACCTAGATTGCTCAGTCTCTGTTCTGATGTCTTGAGTTGGATGCATGAGTTGACTGTTTTGAGTGAGTGGTTGAGTCAAGTCTGGTAGATTGGTGAACAGAAGGGAGACACTCCCGTTGCTTGATTTTGCTGCACTCGAATGTCCTTTGTGGTGGTTGTCCAGGTTGCTATTGAAGTTGTTCATGTGTTGATGTTTGAAAACCAGTATGATTCACGTGTTCTGTGCCTTTATGACTTGTCCCCAATGTTGTTTGATTGAAATATATCTCTAGGAGGAGATATATGTTGAGCAGCCTGAAGGCTTTGAGATTCCAGGAAAAGAAGATCATGTCTACCTACTGAAGAAAGCTCTCTATGGACTAAAACAAGCTCCAAGAGCCTGGTACTCCAGAATTGATGATTATCTGATGCAATTGGGGTTTGCTAAGAGTCCAAGTGAACCAACTCTCTATGTGAGAACTGATGAGGTTGGAACTGTGATGATTTATGTATGTGGATGATCTCTTGATCACAGGAAGCAATGTGAAGTAGATAGAAGACTTCAAAACTAGTATGATGAAGGAGTTTGAAATGATTGATATGAGTTTGATGACTAAGTATGAAAATGAAGTTTTTAAAAGATTTGGAATCGAGAATGCCAAGGCTGCTTCTACACCACTTCCAGTGAGAATCCAACTGACAAAAGAAGATGGATCAGGTTCATTTGAACCTAAAGTTTACAGGAGTCTGATTGGTAGCTTGCTTTATCTGTCTGCAACTAGACTAGACATAATGTTTGACTCTGGTTTGCTGGCAAAATTTATGCAAGCTCTAATTCCGATCCACTACAACACAACTAAAAGACTGCTAAGGTACATCAAAGGTACCACTGATCTTAGGTTGAAGTTTGAAGGAGGTAAGGAAGTGTGTTTGGAAGGGTTATGTGACAGTGATTGGGCATGATCTTCTGAAGACATGAAAAGCACCAATTCACTGAGCAAACCAAGGTTTGAAGATCATGATTGGTATGGTCAGTGGCATTGGCAAGGAGGAGTATTGCAATTCATCATTTGGTGGTTCCCTCTCAACCTATCTATGCCCTGGAGCACAAGAAATGAAGCTTGGTGCTGAAGGAACAAGGAAACAGAGTAAACCAGCTGGAGCAAGATGAAGATGAAGACTGATCCAGCTGGAGTGTGCTCTAGACATCTCACAGCTTTGGAATGAACCCAAGGAAGACGAGGGACCACAATGAAGGGCATCTTTGCCAATGCCTCTTCTTGTTTTTGCTTTAGGGAACACTGAAAGTGACCTTTGTACTTGGTTCAGTTTTAAGTTTGTCTTTTACACTATGTTTTCGAAGGAATGAAAGAAAATCGAGGGAAGGGAAAATTGGAGGGGAAGGAAAAGGAAGGGAGGGAAAATTTGTAGGGGAGAGAAAATGTTGTTTTATGCAGTAAAGTGAAGGAAAAGTGGGAGGGAAAAATGTATTGGGAAGTGTGAAATATATTATTTTATTATTTGTATAATAGTAAAATAGTTTAATTATGTGTTTATATTTTCATTACTTATGGTGGATCAATTTTTTTTCTTTCTAACTTGGTTCTATATTAAAAAATTTCATCGATTTAATATCTCGTTCATTTTTAATATTTCTTGATAATTTGATTCATTCTATAAAAATTTCACACTCGAATGTCATTTTATTTGGAGTGTAACACACTTTTACGTCACACGCTAATATTAAGTAAAAATAAAAAAAAATATAAATTGGGCATTACTGTCTATATATCTCCGTTAATGACAAATTCTAATCGTGATACTTTATGTTTCTATAATATATATATCTGATTTTGGCTAGCATACGGTATACACTTACGTTCACACTACCGTACGCCCATAGAACTTTACTATTGAGATTACGAATTAACCGAAATTTTGGGCATAATACTATACTTTGACCTCTAATGATTGAACCCCAGTCCCTAATTCTCTAACCCGGACAAATTAATAATTTTTTTGTTAAGAACTCTTTCCGAAAAATTATTAACTATGTATATGATGATTTATAGGCTTATTTTTGTTTGAGTATTTTATATTATTAATTAATCTAGTTGTTTTCATGCTAGTAAGTAGCAACTAGAAACGAATTCCATTAGTCTAGTTTGGTAAGGATGTACCCAAACATGAGAAAGTGCGGGTGAAGTTAATTGTGAAATTAGTATAATTATATTATTATTTGAGGGAGAAGGTGGTTTATAAGGTGAAAAGAAGGGAATATTGTCATTTTTCGTCCAATTTGAGGGGTAGGGAGTAGGGATGGCAATGGGTCGGGTTGGGGCGGGTTTTGTCAAACCCAAACCCATGAGTTTATCCGCCAAAAAAACCCGGGGTAAAACCCGTTGGGTTTGAAAAACTCAAACCCAACCCAACCCGCTGGGTATCCGCGGGTTCATGGGTACCCGTGGGTTTTTGTGGTAAAAAATTTACAATGACAAGTTTCTTTCAAAATAAAAGTTTAACATCAATTTTCTCATACAAATTAATCATACAAAAAACACCAATCTAGAGCATACAAGCAAACCTCAAATGATCAATACAAATTGTTCAAAATTAAAGATAAACATTAAGATTAATTGAAAGCGTCTTCCTCGTCAACTAAGTTTCTTCATTCTCCACTTCATAATATCAACTTCATTCTAAACAATTAGAAAGAACAAATTATACATGTCTCCACAAACATAAAGAATATTAGTTGTTTAAGGAACATATATTATTTAGAATATTAAATATACCGGGAAAGTAATTATATGTGTGTGAGCGGGTACCCATGGGGCGGGTTTACCTAAACCCAAACCCAATCCGACCCGGTGAATAGTGTAGCGGGTTTAAACCCAAACCCGACCCAAAACCCGTCAACACGGGTTTTTCCCGCGTTGACCGGGTTGGGTCGGATGGGTACCCGTGGGTTCGGGTTTTGTTGCCATCCCTAGTAGGGAGTAACGGTGAGTTTTCCTCCCTCTTTCCTTCCCCTTCTTTCCTCCCTTAAAAAATAAGGTTAAATGTCTCGATATCTACACTCTCCTCTATCCCTTTTCCCTCATCTCCTTTTCCTTTCTTAAAAAACAGAGTGTTAGTTTTGGAGGTAGCATATCACTGTAGGGTTTGAGGTTGAGCCTTTAAAAAGGTTGTCGTCTCTTCATTTTGATGTAATGTGAGAGAACATATCAAAATCGTAATGACAAAGTGGATCTGAAGCACTAAAACTCAACCACTGTTTTGGGTTCAAAAACTGTTTTTCTACCATTCTGTTTTTTTTTTCCAGTTCGACACTGTTTCATTGCATTTCTACAGTTTAGTGTGGTTGGAAATCACAAATATCCTATTTTCTACAAGACTCGATTAGTTATATCTAAATTTCTTCGGTCTGATTGAATTTTTGAAGATATCAAAATTGATATTGGACCAATCGAAATGAAAAGGCTTACATTATTGAAACTGAATCGAACCGTATCAATATGAAATATCATAATAACTGCACATACATGTTAAGATACAATATGATCCTCCTTTTCATTGGCACAGAAATGATTTCCCAAGGCACCATTGAGACATCTGATATCACAACCCATGAACCCAAATCCAGAAAGCAAAGACATTGAGCAACTGGAATTCACACGAATGAGTGTCTGAATGGCATGATCAAGGAATCCAAAGTATTGACCCGAAAGTCTCCAGCTCCCCGCAATGCTCTTACACTTGAGCTACAAAGTCGCTGCTAAGGTCAGATTCGAGTTCCAAGGAACCCAAGTCATCCGACATCCCAGCACCGCCGCTAGTAGTTTGCTCGCCGCCAGCTTTGGCACCTTCCCCTGGTACCTTCGCCTCTTCGATGATACGCATTATGTCTTCCACGCTCTGAGCCGGTTGCTCACAGCCTCCTGCTTCGCTGAAGTTGGTCTTCTCGATCTCGGCCAGCTCCTTGGGCAAGTTCTTGAGGAACCAAGGCAGCTGTTTGATCTCCGGGATGGTGATCCTCTTGTGTAGGGAGGTTTTCAAACGGTTAGCTTTGGTTGTGAATCCAACCAATCAAAGCGATAAAATCAATTATATGAAATATCATAAACCAAGAGCATCAGCACAAAACCAAACTTTAACAAACATTTCCAGGAAGCCTAACAAGTAACCAGTACCTTTGCAGGATTGGCTACGAAAATACGAGAAAGGAGCTGCTTGCAGTCTGCAGAAACACGTACGTAATCGGGGATAGAGTACTGAACACTCATTATTCTCTGTGGTGATCACACATACAGATTTTAGCATAACCGTGTAAAGAGTTGGGTGTAAGGAGTTGGATAGAGATCATATGAGGAATACTTCTCTAACAGAAAAGGTTATACTTAATAACTCACCCCAATGGTCTTTCGGAAGTTCCTCGGATCATCAGGATCCTCAAAAGGGTATCCTCCAACAAGCATAACGTAGAGCGTCACACCACATGACCAAACGTCTGCAATCTAAAACTGATAAACCATCAAACTAACAGTGGAAATGGGAAGTGACTAATCTGTTGTTTCAACATCAGTTCAGCTTCTTTTTACAGCTCCCTTTGATATACTACTATCGGTTATACACATTGTCAAATGTCAATGTAAAGCTAGGATGAAAGTAGAGTAGTAGATTCCCTATAGAGCTACTCTTTTTTTTTTCTGTCCCTATAACAGTCGTAATCAATATATCCAATAATACCTTCCCATCATACTCCTTCCGAGATAGGACTTCCGGGGCAATATATGCTGGAGTTCCCACCGTCGACTTGGGTTGTGAATGCAATAAACCAGACTGAGACACGAAGATTCAGGAGTAAGAGAAAGAAGGTTAGATTTTCTTGAAGAACCCAATGGGGGGGCAAATGATCACAAAGCTAACCTTTGAGTAACCAAAGTCACATATTTTAAGACGCGGAGAAGGGCTCCCATCCAGCAGCGTGTTCTCAAGTTTCAGATCCCTGTGACATATCTCCTGCAAAATGGAAAACCTATCAGGAAACAGATATAGAAAAGAAAATGCAGTTGAAGGTTTCTGGTATACTACCATGGAGTGGCAGTAGCTGACTCCAGATATTAGCTGCTGGAAGAAAAATCTAGCCTGCGTGAAAAGGATCAGACTGAATGTAAGAAGACATGCTGAAGAAAGTAAAACAAAACTAAGGGCAACCACATTTTGAAAACAACCTCATCTTCGCTGAAACGTCCAGCACTGCATATCTTTGCAAACAGTTCTCCGCCAGCTGCATATTCCATGACAATGGCCAGATGTGTTGGAGTCAGCCAAACCTGCAGGTTAGAGCAATTTTCTGCTCATATACAACTTGAAAGAAAGAAGCAATTTGAGTTTTTGAGACCACAAGTAATATTTCCACAATGTACTCAAGCATAATGTCTGTGTAAGATAGATATGCAGCATGGTGCTAGTGTCAAAAACAGTTCATGGTTGAAATAGGTAAAGATCAAAGCCAGGTAAAAGTCATGCAGTAAATGTAACTATCATCACACAACTGCCACAACAACCTTGGATGCCAACTGAGAAGTTATAGGCTTACCTCTTTGAACCTCACTATATTTGGATGCCTCAAAGCTCTGTGGTTGATGATTTCTCTCTGGACATGCTCATCAATCTGAAACCATAAGCAAAGCACTCCAATTCAATGTTTTACATCTCAAATAAGCTTAACTAGAGACGAAAGCAGGAAACCTGGGCAGTATGACTACATGAACAAACGTAACAATGTCATATTTGGAAGCCGAATCAGGTAGTGAAATGCAACATCAGGGCAAATTTCAGAAAACAAGACAGCATTAAATAATTATGCTTGAATTGGAAGGCTTAAGTTGATTTCTGATCCTTGTACACGTATAAACTACAATGATTGTGACCTTCTGTTTACCGGTTCAAGAGCAGATACAAAGATGACCCAATGAAACAAATAGTTAACTTCTGATTGTCATCATTTTGGCAACTGGACAAATATTACCTACAATGATTGTGACCCAGTTTGTTGTTGAAAACCAAGATAAAATATTCATCCAATGAAACATACTATTACTTCTCGTTGTCAACAGCTGCCCACAGCAAGTGGGCAAAGGCAATTCAAGTCTAGCAGCAAGTAAACTAACTAGCAATTAAATTATATTTTTATCAGACATCAAAGGCTGATTATTTTTGTTTTAGTAATGAATGGTTCTAATGACGGGTATTTAAAAAGCCATAACAAGTAACAAGACATAATAATGAAGAAGGACATCATGGATTCAAATAATTTGAAAGTTCATTTCAAGTCAAAAGAGTTTTGTGCCAATACATCAAAATCAATTACACATGGTACCACCAACTTGAAGATGAAATCGCATGATTTTTAACATGTATAGAGGTTTTCTTATGTATGATGATAATGACCCTGGCACATTTGCACGGCCAATGGATATGACAGCATTTGCCAGAGCTACTTCAAAGTGTGTTTTTTTATAACCATTGATTTCCTAGATAAGACAATAAAGTACCAGAAGCATACCGAGCCTGGTAAGGACGTCTATAGAAACTTTACTGACTCCAGTATCCCAAACCCTACATGATCTCGTGAGGGAATCAAGTGTTGTTCTAAGTTCTAACCCTACCTTCTTAAGCAGAAGCAGGCAGCACTATCTTAAAACAACCCATCCAGCATAATTTCTAATGAGAGACCTCAAAGACAATAGCCATTTCCAAAAACTGAAGCTCCTATATTTTGGTTGAAAAGGGTACCAGATTTAACTTCCACATCCTCTACATTTCTTCACCTATGGTGTTGAAGTCAGCCGCTTTCGGCCCTGGAATGATCCCATCAATAAGAAAGTTTATGTCAACAAATGACCTCTACAAGATGAAAGCATGATCATTTTACATTATGCTAGGATTTCTTTCCTGTAGTTAGAGCACATATCTACAGGCAATGTATCTCACAGTCACAGATGAAGATAAAAACCCTAATGAAATTCCTCAATCCATCTAAACCCTGGAAGCAGAGAGTTCTCAAAACAAAACACAACTGCAAACGTTCCAACAGAACTGAGCTAAGAATTCCAAACATCACACAAATCTAAGAAGCATGGGAAAAGAAAGTTATTATTACCTTTTTCCCTCTTTCAATGTACTTCACAGCAAGAAGTTCTTTAGTCTTCCTATCTTTAACCAGCTTTGCGACGCCGAAGTTCCCTGCACCAAGGTCCTTAATGGGCTCGTATCTCTCCTCCATTTCAACCCTGATAACAACTGCAAGAAACCCAAATGGCAATTGTGAGAAAACCCAGCAGCAGCAGCAGCAAGAGTTTTCGGGCTTCGACAGTTTGAATGTGAAACTGTGAAACTACTAAGAATAATTCTACACATTATCTTCCACCTAATCCAATTCTCAGCCTTCCCCGCCCACAAAACCCAATTTATCAAAGCATTCATTAGTAATCACGGCATAACAACTTCCTCCCAACTATTCCAACAACCCACTCAAGGACATTCATTTCAACTAAGCTGAGCAAGTAAGCAATTAACTATTGAGAAAAAAGAAGAAAACAGACTACAGTTGAAAACCAGATGTTTTGCTATACTTGCCCTTTGGAAAATTGGTTTATTTAGAGCCTCAGAAAGAAAGAAGGCAAGCCAAGCCAAGCCAAGAATAATTGAGCAAGAAGAGGGGGGAGGAAATAGGCGGCTACAATGGTGACCACTGACGAGAGGAACTGCAAATGAAGAATTAAACAAAACAGAGAGCTCCGTATCCCCAATGGTGAAAGAACAAAGACCACCCCCAGAAGAAAAGAGAGGAATATTACATGATAATTATTACTAACGTATCTTTCAGCAACAAACCGACCAACTATTTAAAGAAATACTCACCGATTGCAACAGGTCAACCGAATATGCAAAGGAGGAAGAGAATAAGAAAGAGAGAGAGAGAGAGCTCTTGTGCTAACTAATTCTCCTCCGAAACAGAAGAAGAAGAAGAAGAAGAAGAAGAAGAAGAAGCTTTGATTCTTCCACCACCAGCAGTCGAATGTAACTTCTCTCTGTTTCCTCCTTGGTCTCTAGTCTGGCCGTCGCCATAATTACTAGTAGAGTTCTGAAGCTATGGAACACGTACCGCACACGTTTCAAGACTTGGGTCCATTTGTCGCCATAGTCTCGGACAAAGGTAGGGTAACTTTAACATCCTCCTCTGTCAATGTGATCGATGGATTGCAAGTGTCGGCAGGGAATGTTTGTGAGTCCAACGAAGATCAAAGATAAGATAGATAGCTTTACATAAGTGTTCCTTGCTCTCACCAACATTTTGGTTCTAAATTAGAGGTAGTAAATGGATTGGATTCATGTATTGGTGGATTATGGATCAAATGGATTGGATCAAATATATTGGTGGATTGATCTGTGAATCCAAATAACATTCAAGTTTTGGATCAATATGTAAAGGCTAAATTACACGTTTGGTCACTCAAATTATACAAATCTTTCACGTTTGCCACCCGAATTACTTTTCTTTCTTATTCGCCACTAACTTTACGAATCGTTTCACGGTTGGTCACCGGCCGTTACACTCCGTTAAGTTTGTCCTACGTGGCAGTCAACTATAAAGTTTGACTGTTAACTAGATGACGTGGAAATTAAAAAAAAAAAAAAATTCTTTCCACCTTATCATTGCACTTATTTTGTCTATATAATTTATCATATTAATAATTTAATAAAATTTAATAAATTACAAAAATGGATAAATCCAAATGCTCATCATCCTCACCCTCACAGAACAAATCAAACATTATAGATAGAACAAACCAAGATTCTAAATCAAGACCCCCATATTTATTCTTCTCTTTCTCTCGGCCTGCTTCCTGAGTTTCATCGACTCCACCTATCGTTGCTCTCGACCTCTCCTACTGATTGTCACATGTTCGTCCCCGGAACGATGCCCTGGCAGTGTGTAATCGAGGATGAACGATTTTGGAGGCGAGCTGTGCTCGCATCACCTAAGAAGAGACTGGTCCTCACGTCGCCTTCGTCGGTGATCACCACCTTCTTCATGCCTTCTTTGATTTGGGGAATCGCCAGGCAGAACGAGGAGGCAGGGGTGACCGGAAGGCTAGGATTGGGCTCGGTACGGGAGATGTTGACGATGGCGGATCTGGGAGGATGTTGACGAAGACGGCGCACGGTTACTCTCTGCTCAGGTGATGGGTAGAGGAAGACGATTGGGAAAAATAAGAAGAAGAAAGAAGCCACGAGTGGCAAATTCATAACCAAACGTCTCTTCCTTCCCCGCCACATTTCCTTCCATTTTTGCTAACGCCACGGCCCTGTTTCTTTATGCCATCTGCATGGAAAAGAGCTCTGTGAGTTCTTCTTTTTGCTGGTTTCTCTCCATCTGTTGGATGATTGGACCCCATGCATCGTTCACTTTGTTTTTTTCTCTGTTTTCTGTTTTCCTTTTTCTGGAATGAATCTTATTCCCTTGTTTGATTTGAGCAGAGCTAGCTGTTTATATTGAATAAGGAAATAAAAATGAAAAATATATAAGAGATTTTGCTGCTTAATTCGTTCTTGTTTATTGCATTTCAAACTAAGATGAAAGCCAAGCCGTTGCCCTTCTTCTTCTGATTTAACCACTTCGATTTCGAAGTACGGTTCCGGCCTCGATTGACCACGGGATAGGGTAAGTACCTCAAATCCCTCTGAACTTCTGGGTCCTCGAATTTTTTCCCCATTAGGCGCTTGGCGTCGAAGATAGTCCGGCGAGGGTTGAATGCCGCCTGATTCTTGGCGGCTTCACCAACGAGGCGCTCGATATCGGCGACGGAGAAGGCCACGGTGGAAGGTGTGGTCCGGTTGCCTTGATCGTTGGCTATGATATCCGCCATGCCGTTTCGAGCGACGGCGACGGAAACGATGGAGTGGATGGTGAGGGTGAGGGTGAGGATGATGAGCATTTGGATTTACCCATTTTTGTAATTTATTAAATTTTATTAAATTATTAATATGATAAATTATATAGACAAAATAAGTGCAATGATAAGGTGGAAAGAAAATTTTATTTTTTTTATTTTTTTTAATTTCCACGTCATCTAGTTAACAGTCAAACTTTATAGTTGACTGCCACGTAGGACAAACTTAACGGAGTGTAACGGCCGGTGACCAACCGTGAAACGATTCGTAAAGTTAGTGGCGAATAAGAAAGAAAAGTAATTCGGGTGGCAAACGTGAAAGATTTGTATAATTTGAGTGACCAAACGTGTAATTTAGCCAATATGTAAATTTTGAAAAGTTTAGGTACGAAAATGTAATAATGAAAATTTTAAGATACCAAAACATAATTTTCAATGATATTTTTCATTCAAAAATAAATTTTAGGTACCAAAATGTAATATATTGGTACCAAATCGTAATTTGTCATTTTGATCTATGAATCAACCAATGAATCCACCAATCCAATTGGATTTGGATAAAATGGATTGGATTATGTGAATAATTTGATAGATGTATTGGATTGGATTCATGGATATGAAATCTAATTGCCCCATCTACTCTAAATCTAACTTAGTAAAAGGATGTGAAATTTGAGTAGAAGAACATAAGAAAACTCGAACTGGAATTAACGTAGAACTCGAATACTTACCTAGATAGATTAGAGGCTGTCGGATTATAATAAGAGTAAATACAATTTATTAGCCAAATATTTCGTTTTAAATAAAATAAGCCAAACCTTTTCAAAAACAATTTATTAGCCAAATCGTTAACTTTCTATCCGGTCAACTGTTAGTTGACTCTGATGTGGTAAATGAATTGCTGACTGATCAAAATTTGATGATGTGGCCATTAAATTAAACGAAATTAATTACAATTTTTTTATTAACCCTTATCCCTTCTGTTCTCCCTAGGGATGGCAATGGGGCGGGTTTGGGGCGAGTTTGCTTAAACCATCCCCATACCCATCTTCAAATACCCAAACCCATATCCGCCCCATACCCATGTGGGGGAATGTTTTGCAAACCCATCCCCATACCGGTGGGTTTCGGGTACCCATGGGTAATACCCATACCCGTACATCCAACATTATTATACCTAAAACTTACAAGAAAAGTTCTAATTATAGTTCTAAACGAACATATTATATCATGAAGTCAATAAAACACGGTCATTTTTTTAATATGGTTCAAAGATTATGATCCTAAAATATCCATTAATACATAATATAGAGTATAATATTTTTCAAATTATTATGTTCTAACTCTTATACATCTACTAAATAATAATTAACTAACATAATCTTGTTGACAAGGGGGAAAGTGAAAGAGTGAAATGAGAATTGAGAGAAATGAATTAGATTTTGATTAAGGTGGTCAATCAATTGCATTTCTACTATTTATTTTCTCAAGTTATCCTCATCATCATTGATAGATTATAATTCGATGCACATATTTTTTTTATATATGAAGAAATTATCTTGGTGGGGCGGGTATGGGGATGGGTATGGGGCGGGGGAGGCTAAAATCATACCCGCCCCATACCCATCAAACTTTTTGCGGGTTTTACCCATACCCGCCCCATACCCGGTCAAAGCGGGGATTCCCCGCGTTGACTGGGTAGGGGGCGGTCGGATACCCGCGGTCATAGGTTTGATTGCCATCCCTAGTTCTCCCCCATCGATCTCCAACTAGAATGAAAGCAAACTCTGATTTTCTAGCGGTCCTCTCCCACAACGATTATGGCTCCACAATGTTAATAATAAACTTGAGAGTGTGGAAGAATTATTTTTTCTTTCTTCTTTTCTTAGTTAAAGTGGTGGTTGTTTGCTAAAGGGAAGCTAAAAAGACAAAAGGTTAATAATGCAAGTTTTTCTGTTTTTCAGGATGATTGTTAGTTATTTTAAGGACCCATTTTATGATCAACTCCCCTTGAAAGTCCCACCCCTTCCAACCTGTTTGGATACAATTCAAGAAGAAATGAAAATGGAATTCTATTTCCAATTCCTATTTTTATAGAATTCCATTTCCAATTAGCCTGTTTGGATTGACAAAAAAGTAAGGAATTGGAATTCCATTTCCAATTCCATTTCCATATATTATGTTTGGAATAATAAAAAGGTTGAGAATTGAATTCCAATGGGTCTAAAATATGGGAATTACAATTCCTATCAAAAGTGATAGGAATTGAGAGAATGAAGATGGAATTAGTGGGACCCATCAATACTTTTTATTATTTTGTTGACCCACTATCATTTTACTCTCTTTCTCTCTCATTCATATTTCATTTCCCAAAATAAAACAAACATATTACATTATTCATTATGGTTAAAAGTGCAATTCATTTCCATAGTTGTAGGAATTATACCAAACACTAGAATTGGAAATGGAATTCTATAAAAATAAAAAATTGAATTCCATTTCCATTTCCATTTCTTCTGGAATTGTATCCAAACAGGCTTAGTGTTTGGCATAATTCCTCCAACTAAAGAAATGAATTGCACTTTTAACAATAATTAATAATATAATATATTTATTTTATCTTGGGAAATGAAATATGAATGATAGAGAAAGAGAGTAGTGTGATAGTTGGTTAATAAAATAATAATAAATAGTGATGGGACCCACTAATTCCATCTTCATAAACACAATTCCTATCACTTTTGATAGGAATTGTAATTTCCAAAACTTAGCCCAAATGGAATTCATTTCTCAACCTTCTTATCCTTCCAAACATAAAATCTGGAACTGGAATTGAAAATGGAATTCCAATTCCTGAGTTTTTTGTCTATCCAAACAGGCTGTTCATGCATGAATTGACCATGGACTTGTAGTTCATGGTTTGTGACCAACCTACTCCTT